CCTCCAAGCCCCATGTCCGCCCGCAGCCCAGGCCCCACCAGACGGTCAGCCTCCCCGCGGACCCCATCCCCAGATGGGGGAGTAAAAAGACCCCGACACACACACACCCTCAGATGTACTGTTGATGTGTGATGTTCTATAATGCAATTAAAACAGGGAAGAAGACAGGGTAGAGGCCAGCACTATGCCAGTTTCCCCTCCATCCCAGCTCCAACCCCACCCTAAATGTCTAAAAGCAAACAATGTGAGTGGGCACAGTCATCCGTGGCGAGACTGTCCCATCCCGCCCCTGGCATGCATGTGCCCACTCCCAGGTCCCTATGTGTAAATGTTATGTGGTTATGAATAAATGTCTATGGTGTACAGTAAAATTGGAGCCCCAGATAACTGAAAACTCTGCCTCCCATTCTACTTTTAGAAACTCTTGGAATCACAAGTAAGCAATAAATATTTCAACTTCTCTGTTCAGAAAGTGGGAAGAAAAAAGTCCAAAAAGTGCTCTTCAGAGCTTGACATGAGGTTTTAAGATTCAAATCCACAGGAAGTTTTGACTCCTGATATCATGAAAGCGAAGGTGAATATGCTTCCATTTCATCCCTACTGGGGTGCCTATAGATGTGAATGATCACTCCTGTGCATTAGCAAGTCTAGTCTCTTTTACCAACATAGTCATGTGTGACCCTGGTGACACAGGCAAGCCTATATAGTCACGTGACAATGGTCACTCAGTCCCTTTTTGTCTTCTCACATGCAGGTTGAACAGATGGTAAGACCTTTGGTCTTTTTGGTTTGACGCTGGTGTCGAGACTGCGGTCGGAACTGCGTGATTTTTTTGCCCTCCAGAGGCTGTGCAAACAAATCTCCTCATTGATACAGCTGTTTGTTCTTTGACTGGTAAATTGTTATTTATTTCTATTTTCCTGGAGGTAGAGCATTAGCTAACCACATGGGTTTCTTTATTAGCTGGAACCTACTGCTTCCAGTGCATTCTTTCAACATCCTACTGCTAGGCCGTCTCTTATTGTTACCACTTCTGCTGAACATGTAAAGAAGGTGCAGGCCTGCTGAGCAGATACTGATGCCATTTCGCAGCCAACCTCAAATGGCAGGGCCCTGGTGGCCTTCCAGGTTACGCCCAGATTATCACAGCAAAAATGCCAGTGTTAATTTAACACCCACAGTGTTAATTTTAACACCAACAAAGTGTCTATATGTGTCCACACTCGCTAGTGTTAAAATAACATTTGTGAATGTGTTAAATTTTAATACTATTTTTTTGTTAATTTTACACCAACCAGTGTTTAATATTCAACAATTCTTGGTGTTAAATTAACATAAAAACAGTGTTAATGTTAAAATATTGTGTTAAAAGTAACACCAGTCAGTGTTAAATATTCAACAATACTGGGTGTCATATTAACAATTCAACAGTGTTAAATAAAGTGTTAAATGTGTCACAAGTGTATTACTAGTAACAAAGGAAATTGAGGTGTTAAAAGGTTAACAGAAAACACAAGGTGTCAATACACCATCAAATTGAGAGTGTATTAACACTCAGAGTTAATATCAGACTCTTTGTGGTGTTGCATTAACACTGCTCAGTNCTGTAACACACCTGTGTCCCAAAAACCCTACGTGAGTGCAATTGAAAATGAAGAGGGTGGAGGTCTGCAGCAGGGGATGGGGAGGAAAAAACTGAGGGAGCAAGAATGCTCCCACAGGGGGCCAGCTCCCCCACTGGTCCCAGTAGGCTCCCCCGCTCCCCGAGACCCACCCAGGGACAGAGGCCCAAGACCTCATCTTCGGGATGGACTGCCAGGCCCAGAAGACGCCAGACCACAGACAGACAGAGCCCGGAGGACTGCCAGAAACCAGGACCAACAGATATGACTTTATTTTTAACAAACGCTGATAACTTGTCAAAATAATTGCACTTTTAACTTTTTTAATATTTTTTTTCTTTATTTTTTTAATGTTTCCTTTCTCCTTTTTTTTTAAGTATGGACCATGGTTCTGTTTGAGTTTGAATTAAACCTGATTAATGTGAAATCATATTTGTTGGTGAGGTGTTTACTTAGTAAATATGTGTACAAAACATATGTGGAACTTATATTTATATGTCCTGTGCTCCATGATGACCACTATTTGTCAGGTTCAGACATGGAATGACCCAGGGCACAGGCAGATTTGAAATGTTAATAAAAATAAGGTTTATTTACAAATCAAAATGCTGACGAGGCAGTTAAAAAAACTCACTTGAAAGATGTGGCGAAAAAACTCATGGAACATGGAACATGGAACATGGAACATGGAAAACGAGACACGCTTAACAGCACAATGATCGGACACTGACACAGAGACAAGACAGAGCTTAAATACACAGGACAACTAATGAGTTAACAGAAAATCCCTGAGGAAATGGAAGCAACACTAATCACAGAACTGAACACACCTGAGACAAAAAGGAACTTAACGGAAAACCCACATGAACAAAACCCAAAACAGGACCTAAAAAACCTAACCATAATACAAAAACAGCAACCAAAAAAACCAAACTATGACACTATTTGGTGCTGCACCTGCTGCTCAAGTCTGCATTGGATGCTGACTCGCTGTGGAGGGCTTAATAAGCCACTCACCCTCGTTCCTAATTGTTTCGGATAGGACTTAATATGGCCAACCAGCAGGCACGCGCAAACGGGGTGAGGAGTGAGCAGGGCGAGGGTGTAGCCACCGACTGGGAAAGGCCCCAATACAACATGCAATACACTTCCCATTACTGGCCATCAACTGCAAGTGCAAAACTCAAATCCAAGATGGTCGACAGATAGCATAATATGTCAAGCAACTTGGCAATTTCTTGTCATTCCCGCTACAGTACAAGATTCTTGCAGGAAAAAAAACATGGCAACATTAAGTAACAATTAAAGAGTAATACTGCTTATGTATTTTTCAAATATTAACTTTAAATTGGGGGGAAATACAATTGATCACCTGTCCACTAAATTGGATATCATGCATCAGTGACTATATTTCAACAGAAATTTATACTATTGCTCTGACTATTGTTCTGTCATATGCACCATCTGCAACAAGGATTTTGACAGTAAATAAACGGACTTATATTTGGTTAGGGGTAGGGTTAGAGGCAGGGGTGGGCACAGTTCCCCTAAAGCACTAAAGCACTAATAGGGGAACTAATTTCCTGATTAGTGCTTTAGGGCTTTTGTTAATTTTAAAATTTATTTGTGAATTAGCACTTGTTAAATTTATAGGCTAAATTTAGAAGCACTAACTGAGGTTATTGATCAACATTATTGGTAACAGCTGACAGTGAAAGCTGTCACCTGTCACACATTTTGTTCATTTGTGTATCACTTATCCACCAGGTGACAATATGTTAACAATATATGAACCCAAATACAGCTGTGGAATGTCAATGAAAACTCTTAAGAGATCAACATGACAATATGTGACGTGTTGTCTGTTGAAGAATGTTCATGGGTTGACTGGGTTATTTTAGTGCTTTAGAATCAGCTTTTGCTAAATTTTCAATGCATTAGTGCTTTCAAATTAGGGGACCTATATTTGAGTTAGTGTTTTAGGGCTAGTGGAACAAATTTTTATATTAGTGCTGCCCACTAGTTAGGGGTTAGGGTCTGAAAATATTAGTGAGGGCAAAGTCTTGTGTAAATAATATACAGTTGAAAATTAGAAGTTCGCATAAGACAAAACAAACACGAGATCAAGGGGTTGGATGAGAGGGAGTAAAGGGATGAGACAATAGTGAAAACTAATGAGAGTTGAATTCAATTAAGCGGTATCAAAATATTTCAAAATATGTTTACATTATAGCATACAGTATTACATTAATTTAAAGTCTTACAATGTATGCTGTCCACCTGAGTGGACATGAGGAAAACTTTCTGAATAAATTAAATTTTTACAAAAAAAATTTTTTTCACACCCTTTTTTATGCCCTAAGAAACATAAAACAGTTAAGAAAATCCTGTCTGATGGTATCATCATAATTCATGCATGAAAGGGTTCACTTAACATGTCACATTTTTTCCATTTGACCTATATTTTTACTTGGTGAACCAGTTCTTATTTAAAAACATGACCTGGAAAGTAAAAACAGGAAACTATTTTACATAAAAAAATAAGACATTTATTAACATAAATGAATAAATCTGACAAAACTTAAAAAGAAATGCAACTTTTGGGAAGTTATAAAGTAAAGCTGTTCACTGCTCTCCGTTTGAGATACGGTGAGAAGCTCGGTCATCTGTGAGGGGCTCTGAGCAGAGCCGCTGCTCCTCCACGTCGAGAGGAGCCAGTTGAGGTGGTTCATCTTGCTAGGAGGCCTCCTGGACGCCTCCCTGGTGAGGTGTTCCGGGCATGTCCCACTAGGAGGAGGCCCAGAGGAAGACTCAGGACACACTGGAGGGACTACGTTTCTCTGCCTGGGAACACTTTGGGATTCTCCCCAAAGGAGCTGGTCCAAGTGGCTGGGGAGAGGGAAGTCCTGGTCTCTCTGCTTAGGCTGCTGCCCCCAAGACTTGACCCCAGATAAGAAGAAGAAAACGGATGGATGGCTGTTCACTGCTGCCAGGACATTCCAATAACATCTTACACTTGTGTAGAAACAACACTGTGTATAAATCTGAAATACTGTATGTGTAAGCAAGTAAGTAATTAAAGCTTTATTTATAAAACACCTTTCATTGAAATACATCAACAGGTGTGTGTGTGTGTGTGTGTGTGTGTGTGTGTGTGTGTGTGTGTGTGTTATTTTGTTAACATTTTGACATTTTGCCATGAAAAATGTTTCTCCACACTGAACTCAGAGGACTGCTTCTCATTGTTAGGTTTGGCTGCCATCTGCTGGAAGATCAAAGTAAAAACCCACACCGTGTGTTACCTTCACCTTCATTTTAAAATGCAAAAAATAAAAAATCAACAACAAAAAAACCAAACAGTGGTGTTTTATTGTAAGGAGATATTTTGTATTTGATGTGAAAACAGGTTTCATGTGAAATTTACTCCATCTATCCATCCTCTCTCTGTAGTCAGATCAAGGAGGCAACAGGTACAGGGGAGAACCCCAGACCACCCTCACCGCAGTGACACTTTACAGCTCCAAGGCAATGAGGTATATTTACTAGAAGAGCTATCACATGACTTTGGGTATGCTAAACGTGACTCCATCTTGACACAGTCATTCAACCATTGAACACAGACCCGCAATGCCGTGTCACTGTGCAGCGTTCACTTGCAGCAATCGTTGTGGAAAATGTTTGGACTTCATTACATTTCATCTGTGAGTTTTTTTTCTTTTAAATAAGAAGGCTATGTTTAACATTGTGCTTATGTTCAGAATTAGTACTGACATAAATGAATCAAAATCAACTGAACTACATGAAATCTCCCACTGCTGGAGGGTGAAATTAAACTTTTTGTTTGTGTTTTTGTATTTCTGTTGAGTCAAGGTGTGCCATTAAAAAAACAGAAGTGTTGATTTTCACTCCTGATTGCTTACTTAAGTTTTGTAACAGTAAGTATGTAATATTTACACAACAGACACATTTTTATTTATCTAAATTTATTAAGTAAAAGAAAAAAAAGAAAAATACCCTGACATTTGCTTTATGGATTACTTACTAAAACTCTGTAACATTAAATACATTTATTTTTCACATGAAGTAATATTTTTATATAAATTTATTCCGGTGTGCCTCAGAAAGCATAGTCTCAATATGGCACGGACAACCATTACTTTGACCTCATCCAACTCCTGGTGAACAGTTACTACACCATCAGGCAGAAACATGTTGCCAGATTACCTCACAGCTTAAAAACAGAGTCTGTTCCTCAGAAACTAATAAGCTCATTCTCTTACAGTAAAGTACAGAATAACTATGGACTTGCATTTATTTTACAAATGATTGTCTATCTTATTATCAAACACAAGTTTGGTTTTTTTTTCTTTTTAATTGAATTTTTTTAGTTTATTGTGTATTTCTAAACACTGTTTTCAAAATGATGCTTTAAGCCTTGGTTTTTGTATTGTGTTTTGACAACGCAATTTTATTATACTTTCTTTTAATTTTTTTGACTACGTTGTTAATAAAAATATTTTTTGTTAAAATAATATGGTAAAATAAACTTTTTCTTTCAGCTATCTGTGTGTGTAAATGGGTTATAGAGTACATGTAAATTGGGGCTACTCTAAAAAGAAAAACCTGTTAATCTGGTAAGTACTCAGCATTGTTTACATAATTTGAATAGTCCCATCCCTTAAGGACTGTTTCAAGACGGCGTAGCGCTTAGCCTATCTTGGCCTCAGTGTCTTGATGGGGCTAGCCTCTCTCATTGCTCCAAGGCACTCCCAGGCCAGAGTGACACACAATCCCACATCCAAGGAGGGTCCATTGGAGGTCCCAACCTGCAAGGCGGAGACGGCACCCCTAGGTCTTCACCCTTTTTTTTCTCTCTTCAACTGAATTTAAAACTGACCAAAAAAGAAAAAAACAATTAGGGGTAAAATCACAAAAACTGGCATATCTTCCACACCTCAGGTCCTCAAATGCTAGTTGCTGATGCTGGGAAGCTTCAAACATGTTTTCACCGAGAGCCACATGAGCATTAAAGTGGCCATCAAAGGGCCAGTTAAACATGAAACATTACGTTCCTCATCTCATTGCTACAGCTAAGTACCACAAACAATCAATAACTGAGCTCTACGTGGTATTTCCTGCATAGAAACAGCCTTTTAACCCTTATAAACACTGAAAAGTAGTGATGGTGAGATGAAGCTTCATCCAACTGGTCCAAACAAGCCAAAGCATCGTTTTTATTTGCTCTACTGCGCCATCTAGTGGACAATAAATGAAAACCAGATTATAATGATGTGACTGGTTTGTGAAGATTTCAGTTGAATAAAAAAAAAAAAGTTGTTTGTGATGACCATGAATAAAGTCTAAATTTGATCTGAATATGATTTAATCTGCCTTTTTGACAATGACTTGTTCAAAAGGGAAAGTGCATGTACAAAACTGGTGAAAGAGTTTTGATGTGAAAGTGCCTGTGTGATTTTGAACAGTGTATATGGCCCGGGACCTTTCTGGATAGAGTTTGTATGTTCTCTCCGTGCATGTGTGGGTTTTCTCAGAGTACACCAGTTTCTCCCACAGAGCCAAAACATGACTCAAGTTAATTGGTAACTGAAAAAAATTGTCCCTAGGTGAGTGAGGGAGTCAATGTTTGATTGTTTCATTTGTCTTTATGTGTCCCTGTGATGGACTTTAACTGTCCAGGGTGTACCCCACTCCTCACAGAGCGACAGCTGGATGTGAGCACCAGTGACCCCTGTGACCCTGAAAGGAAGAATTGAGTAAAAGGTAATGGATGGATGGATGAATTATGCTGTCAATAGTAGGCTAATCATCTGAAAATAAGAATAACTGGGATTTTATTATCTCAGAATGAGTTCTTTAGGGAGGGAGATTTTTATCATCAGAGCCCACCGTGCTGGCCATCATGTTTCTAGATGCATAATAGTAACCCGGGATGAAAAAACTCATAAACCTGATAAATCGGTCTGCATAAGTACATTAAAGTCTCTGCAAACGTAAATTTCTAATTTTTCTGATCATCTTTTTATAACTAAGAAGCTAGGCGCACGCACACACGCAACATTCTGATCTAAGCCAGTGACTTCTACTAATGGAGGGAATGGGTATATTATACACTTCCTGATCCCTTACAGTCCTGTGAGTATTGCAGTTATTGGCTCTTGTGTCCTTGATGCCCTGATGTCACAGAGCTAAAAGAAAGTATTTAAATTGGGCAAAAATTGCAAAAACATGTATTGTTTGTGGTTATAAGAGTTCTAATTACCCCTGTGTAGGTCGAAGAGACACAAATCAAGGCTTAAATTAAAGCCCAGAGGGTCCCCTTTAAAATGGTACCAAACACAATATATTATATAAATATTATAAACCTTCGACCAATGTCTGTACCATTAATGAGTTTTTATTTTTTTGAGCTGATAACTGAGATTTAGCTACCACTCTGGAAGGGCAATCATACCAAAATATCATCTACAGACTTGTATATTTTTAAATTTTATTATGAAGCTTTGCCACCCTAAGATGGACCAAAAATGCTCTGGTCCATGGACTAAATAACTTTATTTTTTATTGCCCCTGTTCCAACAGCGTGGCTTTGTTAGAGTGCAGGTGCTAGACTGGCCTGCCTGCAGTCCAGACCTGTTTCCTGTTGAAAATGTGTGGAGCATTATGAAGAACAAATGCAACAACAGAGACACTGTTGAGAAACTGAAGTTGTGCATCAAGCAAGAATGAAAGAATTCCACCAACAAAGCTTCAATAATTAGTGTCCTCAGTTCACAAACACTTATTGAGTGTAGTTAAAGCTGATGGAACACAGAGGGAAACATGAACCTGTCCCAGTTTTAGTAGCATGTGTTTTAGCATCAAATTCAAAAGGAGTGAATATTTGGAAAAATAAAAAAACGCAATAAAGTTTATCTGTTTGAACATTAAATATCTTGTCTTCATAGTGTATTCAATTCAACGTAGGTGGAAAAGATTTGCAAATCATTGCTTTCTGTTTTTATTTCTGTTTTAAAATAAAATTAGTAAAACCATTGCTAAAACTTCATTGATAAAATTAGCAAAATAGTAGCTAAAGTTAGAATGCATGTGGTGCAACAGGTTCTTGTAAACCCTCAGTTCAGTGGTTGCTTTGTGTCTGTTGACCTGATACTTGGGGTTAGTTTCACCTGGATGACTGATCTGATGACACGTCTACTCACTGACCAACAGCAGACAGTCAGGTTCTGTCAACACTGTCCCGTCTCAGACTTTTTCATGCTACTAAAACTTTTTCACTTCCAGTAACATGTAGATCCACAAAACACTAAATCCAGTCTAAATAGTTCAGGTCTCAGAGGTTCTTGTTCAATATAAGGTAGTTCAGCAATATCACTGTTTTGCTTCCAAACAGAGGAACACAAAGTAAACTTTGTTGAGTTGATAAAAAGTTTTATTGTTGAATTTGTTTTTGCTGCAGGGATGTGTGATTCTGAAACATATTAAACTTGCCACACTATAGTAATTGGCCTGCAGCACTCCAGTGACAGGTAAGCTGCTTATTAGCCAGCTGGAGATTAACAAGAAAGTCCCCACAGTTCACAAACACACACACACACACACACACACACACACACACACACACACAC